AATGAAGTGTAATGAGCTGGGGAAAAAAAATCTGACAGCACTCTCTTTTCATACAGATTACATAAACTGAGAATATTTGTTTTTTATATAAATTACATCATTAAAAAGAAGAGAATTCAAGCTTCATAAAGAAAAACCTCTCGTGCCTGTATGACAAGTATTTGCAGAGTTAGAGTTAATTTTTCGGACGTGTTTCAGAATGGACTGCACTGACAGAGAGAAGGCAAAACTCGCATCATGTTTATTTTTCTTTATTTGACAAAAAGCACAAAACTTTGTTTTTATTGTGAGTATACAGAAAAATAATAGACAATTAACAGGATCGATTGATGTATAACACTTATATGTACGATCAAAATCAACAGAGTATTTTAAGTCTATTTTTCTGCTATGTGAAAAAAAAACGGCAAAACGCGCGGGCGCGTTTCTGGTCCCCAGAGGGTTAAAATGCATAAGATTTCAGTATAAAATGTGAATATTAAGCTTATTGTGTGAATAACTTTTAAACAATATAGATATATATTAAGCAGCACAACTGTTTTCACCATTGATAATAATAAGAAATGTTTTTTGAGCAGCAAATTAGCATTAGAATGATTTCTGAAGGATCATGTGACACCGAAGACTAGAGTAATGATGCTGAAAATTCAGCTTTGCCACACAAGAATAAATTATACTTTAAAATGTGCACTTCAACAATCTATCTCTGAAGTCATGCTACAGGTGCGTTCACCCCAGAAAGACCAAAGCACCAGGATGCCAAACAAATTATTCTTTAATAAATATAGTTTAAATATTCCACAGATAAACATCCTCAATTCCTTCATGTACAGTTTGTTTTCCTTTAGTTATTTGAATCTCTTTGCTCTAGTAATTTGCTCTGGCAACTTATAAAATGTAAAAAATAAAATACCTTAAAAAAATTGTACCTGTTGCTGATATCTTTTTCACTCAAGGTGTTCCTTTTGTTTTGTATTGAGGGGTTCTGGTTCAAGAGAATGATGCAGAAAGAGGGGGGAGAGAGTGAGAGTTCCTTGATGCAGTCTGTGCAAGGACTGAATGCTAATCAGAAAGAGGCCTTTCCCCATGCTTACAGCAGTGCACATACATCTTGTCAGCCCCTGCAATGATACACACATACAGCCACACACACACTACAGACCCAAGGACCCTCCCTTACAGCATTAATAACTCAAACCCGGTTACTTCTGCTTTACTCGTGGTGTAAAAACACACCAAATAAGAGACACACATAGCCTACATATTAACATTTTATAGACAAATAAGTGCATGTGTAAATGATTCCCCCTGGGGATCAGATTGATCGTCTGTCATCGCCATTGCAGTTCTGGAGACAGATGTTTTAAATGATCATTTAAAGGGTAAATCACTTGCCTGAGTAAAATCTTTTCTGAACGGTGAAGGCGTAGGCTGCCGCTAACAGCTAAATAATTCAGCAATATTGATGTGACAGTACACAAGCTTTGCTTGGCATTTGTCATACAAAATGAGAGCACGCAACGGGAGATGGAGATTGTGATGCTCTATTGTAGTCTGTCTGCACACCTTTGTGTTTCAAATTAACTAAATGCTTGCGAAATAAATGAATAAACATGTTTAAATATTTCTGTGTCTTTAGAGAAAAAGCCTATTTAGCTATATTTTTGCATAAACACTTTAACATTTATATAGTTGTTTTTTTTAAGCTGTTATAGCAGTATTTCCATATTTACAAAAAAAGTACCATGGTGCTATAACGTTACTTTGGAAAGACACAACAATTATTAAATAAGTGATTAAATAAATAAAATACATTCATTATTATCATAAGCGTATATTATACATAAATCAATAATCTAATAATTTTCTAACAAAAAAAAAGAAAAAAGATTGGGGTGGGAGATGCATGGGCTGGAAAGTTTTGTATAGTAAAACTGTATATCATTCTGAGAACAATACCGTCCTCTACAGGTCAGATAGAGCACTACAGGGGTGCATAATTATTATTATTTTAGGCCTAACAGTACATTTGGGACAAATCTCCCAAACCTTATTAAAATAATGAATCCATGTGAGATCTGCGAAATATCTGAAGAACAGTGTTCAAAGCCATGAAAACTGCAACAATTGAGAACAACTATGAATAATTTATACGTTTCCGCATCCTTTTTAACATTACAGCTTAGCCTTCATCAGCATAATTCTGAGACATAAAAACAAGCTGAGAATTTTATTCACATTTTCTGCTAAACTTAGCACCTTATTTATCTACAACCATCTAAAGACTCACTTTTGGGGAAGAATCATTTGTTCTTCCATTCCACTAATTATTATTAGCAATGGTTTCTATTAATGCAAATGTAAAATTTGTCAATACCTTTACATGGCTACTCAGCAAATAAATTAATATGTGGACATGAAATATTCATTTGTGTTGAAATATTAATTTTTCCAGCTAAGAAAAAAATAGTCCATTATCTTCCGGTTTCACAGACAAGGCTTAAGCCTAGTTCCAGACTAAAATGCATGTTTGAGCTGTTTCAACTGAAAGCACTGATATATCTTAAAATATGACAGTGTCACTGTTTTGTCTCAAGATAGAAGATACACACTCGTAATGTTTTTTCTAAGGCATGTTTATAAAAGCTACTTAAATGCCCTAATTGAACTACTGTAAGGCCTAATCCTGGCTTAAGCCCTGTCTGTGAAACCTGGCCCATATGTATAAAACCATATTACAGTAATATTAATATAGACGTCCCGGTTTCAGTTACCCGAAATAATACAATCATACATTATAATACATTAAACAAATGATACAAAAATATATAGCCTTTTTTTAAGCATCTTTACCAGAAGCTCACAAACATGTCATATTGTGAGCCTGTGCTGGGCAGCGAGTGTCTGAGATCAGTGTGTTCTGGAGCAGCCCAGCATGACAGGAACCGGAGCCAGTGTTCCTCGTGTTCTCTTATTTATTTAACCCAAGACAGACCCCACATACATAGATACAGAGAAAGAAGAGAAATACAATTTCAGCCTTGGTATGACCAAAATTAATCATGCCACAAACTACACATACCTTGGGTTGAAATTCACCTAATAATCCATGTGCAACCAGTCCTACTCATCCTGATCTGAGCAGGATTTGATCCAGAGTCTCCTGCGTGGGAGGAGGATGCGCTAACAAGGACGCTAAAGACCTCAGACTCTAATGGTAGACGCTAGCGCGCCTCTTGACATCAGGGGAGTGAGGGTTACACGCACAGCTCTTACTGGCCGATGACAGTTACACATGCAGGGCAAAACCCTCTATTAATCCATATTGAGAAAAGAGCCATCAAATTTTGTGTGACCACAACTCTTATCATTTTAAAGCCTTTCAAAATTCAGCTGGTCCCAAGGCTCCACAAACAGACTAAACTCGACTAACAATAGCCTCAGGACCCTGACACCCTCATCCACAGAATACGGCCCAACCAAATGATTAATGCGCAAAAAGAAAACTACCTAGCTAATAAGAATGAAACAACACAAAAACAATATACATCTTGTATACAGATTAATGCACAACCTCAATATGTACTTGGTGAAAAAAGAGACTGCATTTCACTAGCAGCAAAGTAGCCTACATCAATTCCTGCCACAAAAAGAGGGAAGAGTAGTCCACACACACACACACACACACACACACACACACACACACACACACACACACACACACACACACACACACACACACACACACACACACACACACACACACACACACACACACACACACACAGTCCTACTAAATGCTTTACAATGTATAACTTGTCATGCCAATAAAGCTCATTTGAATTGGAAATTTGAAAGGAGTCTCGATTCATTTAAAAGCCAAAGAAAGCACCACAGTCCTTGATAGACAGCAGACACGTGGTAGCAGTGAAACGAGAGAAGACTCTTGGGTCTTTTCTCCATCTTTCATCTCGGCTGCAGCACTGTGAGGGAGGAGAGGAAATAAGTGCGAAAATAAAGAGGGGAACTATTGGAACTACATAACTAAAAGAACGCACAAATTGGCATTACATGGTTTGCTATATAGAAAGTGTAGTCTTATCTTAATTTAGGATATATAGACAAATAATTCAGACAGGATAGATAGATGGATAGCTAGATGGATAGATAGATAGATAGATAGATAGATAGATAGATAGATAGATAGATAGATAGATAGATAGATAGATAGATAGATAGATAGATAGATAGATAGATAGATAGATAGATAGATAGATAGATAGATAGATAGATAGATAGATAGATAGATAGATAGATAGATAGATAGATAGATAGATAGATAGATAGATAGATAGATAGATAGATAGATAGATAGATAGATAGATGGATGGATGACAGACAGCATACAGAAATAATCACAGTTGTATTATTTGGACTGGACACAAGAGGTCACCCACACTCATTTTATAACTTGTTATTTGGCATTGCATTTTCCTTTGAAACAGAACAAAAAATCTCATTGGCGTTCAGCAACATGGCTTCTTAAGACAGTCATCGATTATACATATGAATGAATCAAATACATAAATAAAAAAACCTTTAAATGACATGTTGGACCCTAAAAACAGTCATAGTTTAACTATACCAATGCAATTTGAATACACCACAATATTAGTATCCGTGCACGGTAACCTACTTCAAGACAGATAAATGAGTTTGAACAAATATTCTCTTCAAGCTCTTTGAATGAATCCACAGTGAAGCACGCGCCAGGCAGGGCTCGGGTTTGGAGAGACACCACATAGCTCCCACTAACTGTTGGTCCCGCCCTATGAGGCATGCGGACTAGAAGAATAGAAGTTGCAACAGTGTAACAAGTGATATGTGTCTCTACATTCTGAGACTTTTTACATTCGTCAAATTCACAGCGTAGAATAAAAGTTGCAACGTTGTAACAAACGCTTTGTTGTGAAACATTTTAGAACGTTTTTGTACTCCAGTCAAACGCTGAAGCGCAACAAGGTAGTTTGTCTCGCCGCGTTCATTGCACAACTAGTGGAATAGAAGGACATATCGGTGTGTTTGCGGTAACTAGCCAAAGACTCGTGGAAGACGATGTTGGATGGTGTTTTGTGAGCGTTTAAAGGGAATGAGAGTGAACGAGGGAAGCACGCTTTGAGCACTGCAGCGTTCGAGGTAAGATAGCCTTGATCTTCCTACCAGTCAAGAACTGCCGTAAAGTCATTGTGTACTACTGTGATGTTAGGTACCTGGTTGTTGAGGATTTCTGCTTTGAGTGCAAATTATGGTTTATTTGACTCATAATAACTTATTATCTGCATCAAGATGTTAACCCCTGCTGGTAGGTCCACCTTATAACTGTGTTGAACATGGGAGCTGGTTTCTAGTTGATCCGAGCTGGTCTTTAACTGGACCACGCTTGTCATTAAAATAAATATACTTTTCTGATTAAGACGATGTTTTTATTCCGAAAAACGTGTAGCTGCTCAACATTTTTTTCAGTATTTTTGTATGTAGTATAATTTCGAATAAACGAAGATGCTTTGACTTGTCGCTATATTGATTTTGTTAACGTACTTTACGTTTAAAGCACATTTGGAATAGTTCTGTATTATTTGAATTTCTAGAAAACAGAATATTGGTTTATCTTGTGTAAAGGGTCACAATATTTCAGTATTTCGTCACAATATCCATTCTATATATAATATTTTATATGAATCAATCATAATATTGTTTTCCATGTAAATGCAGTTATTATCTGCTCTACCAGCATTCAAAATGATCTTGACTAACTTAAGATGGTATGACCAGCTGGTAGCTGAAGGTTTTGGACCAACTAGAAAACTATCATGTTCCAAAACAGGACTATGAGCTTTCAAGAAGGGACTTTTATGTATTTTATTGCAATTACTTTATTATTGTTGGTTTAAAGTTATATAGATTTTTTTTTTTTTTTTTTTTTACATTTTATTGCAATAATTTATGTGGACTTTTGTTTAGAGTTTTTACTTTATCTACTTTTCACTTTGGTCATTTACTTTACTTGGTCTCAGTTCTGATCTTGAAAGAAAGATGATTTTATAATTAGACTAAACGCACAAGTAAAACAAAACCATTGGCTGACAGGTGTCTTTTGGAATGATCACGTCTTTGATGTTGATCTGAATTCACCTGAGCAATATGACATGTTTATATCAATAGACCGTATAGACCAGTTCTGTTGACCCGAACTCAGTGCTGTTATTCCAATCTTTCTGCAGTCTGATATAAATGGTGTTAACATTTAACCCGAGTATTTAATCTTCAGAGGAGTCATACGCAAAGCATGCAACACATTGGTAAAGATATTTGCATGCCATGTGACAGTCATCTGTATGCAAATTGATCTCATCAGATGATGGCACTTGCCATTAGTTGTTAATGTATTATCCTTCCTAAGTTTAAGGAAACTGTAGCTTTAAATGACTTAATCAAAGACAAAGGCAGAGTAGTAAACACTGTTAGTAAACCTAAGATTGTCCAATTGCATCTTATTAGAAATATATATTTTTTTATAAATGTATACATACATTTATAAATATTTGTGTGTTCCTCAGACTCCACAGTCCTCAGATTGCTGTTCTTATGTCTCGAAGCTTTTAAATTCCCAGGGTGTGTTTTGTATTGGTTCGTCTGTTATTCCTGGCCTTCCTCTATTATTCATTTAAAGCAGTGGTTCTCAACTGGTTTTACTTCAGATCTTGTAAGTACCAACATAGATAGATTATTGCTCAAAAGTTAACAGAAAACATTTGACATTTTTAATATTAATGTGAAATGCATGACAATAAATTTTGCTATCCTAACTGTACATTAGAGTTGCAGATTATAATTTGCATTATTTGTTTTCCCTTGCTGTCCATTACTCACCAGCTGAGAACAACTGATTAAAATGTTTCTGTATGTTGCACTTTTGCTCCTTTTGGAATTGCTTGTGGAAATCTTGCTGCTCCTGGCCAGATCAAAAATCTAATAACCTTGCAGATTTTTTCATTTTCTCAGTACTCTCAAGGTATTTGCCACCTTAAAGCTGCAGTCCGTATCTTTTCCTCTTTGTCGCCATCTCTCTGTTCGAAATCTGTAACTGCAGTGATTCGCGGAATTATTATCTTTACGTGGGTTGTAAATCGGCATGAAACAGCGCGGATGAACACAGTGCTTTGAGGCGAGTGCTGCTGTCAGTCACAGCGCTGTGTGGATACTGTCATACAGAATCACAGATTCACTTTTTGAAAGTTTGACCAACATAAGAATTTTCATAAGAAAATGTCTTCTGAACAAGTAAGTAGAATCCATTTTTGTTCTGACCAACTAAGGGGGAAAAAGCATTCGACATGATAAGCTTTGTTAGATTTAATCAACGCGATTTACAGCAACCGTGCAAATTATAGCCTACTTTGTTCCCAAATTGTTCATGTTAACAACATCAGCATTGCGTGACTAATGTTAAATTTAATGTGTTTTATGGTTACCTGTGTAGTTCAGAATTCATATTCTCCATAATAGCAAAACGAGAAAGGCACAACAAAGGAAACTCCATAACTGTGTGAATTAAGAAAACGTACTGTTACACGATTGAACTATTGAAATGTTTTACTTATTCAGCAGAAAAAAGCCGTCTCTTCTTCTGTTTTGAACCCCTTCAAAACACGGAGTTCACGCACTTTTCAAAAGCCCCGCCGATGTTTAAATCCTTGTGTTCGCATGAGACGGTTTCTTTCTCTAGCCACCTTAAATCCGAAGTACGAAGTCTTTTGGGTTTTATAACTGCTGAATCTCCAGTTGACACTGATGATTGTTGTTTGGATCTTTCTGGATGCCATAAGTTTAATTATGTAAAGTGCTGCGAGAAAAGCCTATACATCTAAACATCTCGTCACGCGCAGTATAGCCGAAACTCCTCCTTTATGTATACGGGTGTGACGTAATGACTTAAAGACATGCTCGAATTTCCTGCGGAAACCCACCAGTACCACTGGAATTAAAATCATTATTACAAGCTAACCGTTTTGAATCTAGCTATGGCAAGCAGATAGTTTTGACCACTGGCAGAATAAGTTTTTTTTAATTTAATTATTTTGGATTATTTTTAACTTAAAAAAGTTACGGACTGGAGCTTTAATGAACCACACGTAAAAAAAACTTAATTGCATTAAAAAAGAGCTTGTGCTTTATCAAGACATGGTTGTCAAACAGTGAAAGTGTCCGCAAATGATTATGGAGTTGAATCCACTGCTAGAAGACATCCAAGAGGGTTCATCTGTATCCCATTACAGAGAATGCATATTTAGCTTCTTTGGTAGAATTCTTGGGGGATTGATCATTTAGGAAAGATTGTGCCGCAGTAACATTCATAGTCTAATCTATGTTGGTGGACATCATTGACCAAAAAAGGCATGATGGTTCAATTTATTGGTATGTGCAGGGTGGGTTTGTTTTAAAGTTAATTTCTATTCCCTTTCAGATTCTGCATATTCATAAAAAAAAGGGTGTGTTCACAACTTCATACTTGGCAGGTTTGGTTAAATTAAAACAAACCCAGTTGTGATTTGATCGGTCAGAATTTGAATAAGTGTGAACGCTGCCATCCGAACCCTGGTGCGCACTTAAAAAAGTAGACTGAACCTCAAAAAAAAAAGATGGGTCTCTGTCCACTTTCAAACAAACTTGGTTCGGGTCGACTGAAATATCAGCGCAACATGGACCAAAGACATGTAAACAAACCAAAAACGTTTTTTCTCGTCATAGTCACGATGTTGCCTATCACAGTTCGGTACAGGCATCACAACCACGTCTCCTCTAGGGGTGGGCGATATGAGCAAAAATTCATATCACGATATTTTTCACTGTCCGGACGATATCGATATTATATCGCGATATGAGAAAAAAAAAATTGGAATCACATTTTAGTACACCTTAGTTAAATTACAGGCAAAATATGTATTTTAACACTAGATAACTAGAAAAAGGTGAGGCATTTCATTGGACATAGACCTGAAATGTGTTTTTTTTATTGTGCCATTTTTTTTCTCAAAAAGTGCAAACGTGCAACATGAGGTAGGCCTGAATGCACGTGTTATGTCTTTCCACTTTTTGCTCGTCTTGTCATAATGAGAACCGGCAGCGAATGAAGACTTTATTGATTTCAGAGTGAGAGCCGTCTTCGGGTGTGCTCTGTCTCCGGGAATATCTGTTGTTATAGTTTTGCTTTTTTAAATTAGTTTTTATTTTAATATCGTTTTCAATTTTGCTTTAAATTTCAGTTTAGTTTTAGCTAGTTTCATTAACGGTTTTGTTAGTTTTTATTTTGCAAACACATTTCTATATAGTTTTTATTTTATTTAGTTTCAGCTTTAGTAATAATAGTTTAGCTTTAGTAGAGCAAACAGAACACTTCCAGTGTAGACCAAAGCGAGACGTTTAATTTAAGTTTAATGTTTTCACAGATTACAGTTAACTCTTGTGCAGACATCTTAATAATAAAAAAATAATGGGTTGAGATTGAACAAAGCACCAAATAAATAGAACTTAAAAGTATACAAGAAAAAAACAATGAAAATTTTCATACAAAATAATTCATTAGTGTAAGGAGACAGAATAAAGGCCTACAGATTGTACAGTATAAAACCCATTACGTCTATGGAGAGTCCCCACAAAGATAGTGGACCAGTGTGTGTATGCGCGCGCTTATGTGTGTGTCGTGTCCTGTTATTCATAGCCTAACGTTACATTGCGGGGAAATGTCTCCACGTGGATAATATTATTAGCAGTACATGTTTTGTAAAAACAAAGATAATAATAGCAGCTTTCAGCCTTTCAACCTTCATGAAAACATGACATCTCAAACATACAGTAGCCTGGAACGTTAACGTTTTTTTGTGCTTGAGGAACTTGTTTTGGTGTTGCACCCGCGTCTCGCAAATGAAACGGCATTCTAAAAATGCTGCGCTCAAGTTAAAAGTCAAACTTGCGTTTTATTACCTTTGTTATTTCCCATTCCACGACAAAATATGCATCCTTTATGAACAGCCGCTTAGCACTAGCTATGTGTTCTACGTTACGGTCCTTCATTGAGCGCGTCACAGGACAGCGGTTAATCGCCTCAGCAACTTCACGCGTATGAAGCGCCAAATCAG